AGCAGTTGATCGAATGATGGTCACCAGTAGTTCCAGGGCCAGTCTCTTGTCGATTGCTTGTCTTTGGACGGAACTTGCTTTGAGATACCAGGAAAACGGAGCAGTAACAAAATGGATGCGCAAGAAAGAGAGGCAGACGCAGGAGAATGTATCTGCAGCTGAATAGGTGTTAACATCAACTGAACTAACCCATGGATGCTTCACTTTTCGAAGTCAGGTCAAAATGCCAGATTTAGCTAGAAACCTCTGCCTAGGCGTAGCTCGCCCCGATAAACACGAATATGGCACTCGCTCAGCGCGAAAACGCCTGCACTCCGCGCCAAGGGCACCTGTACATCTCTTAGATCGTGGCACTAAAACGCGGTGGAAAAAGCTCCATAACTCCGTTCAGAGAATCGTTCTGCAAATTTCATAGGCGGATTCAAGATCAGCGTCCAAAACCACGTCTGGTGAGCCTTACATTTCATTAAAAATGGCCACTTCGATCTGACGACCTTCCCTAGTTAGTAATTTCAGGGGTAGACACGAATATAGCACTATCGAGTTTGGAAATCCAGAAAGGCTAGGCAATAAACACGGGAAAAGGCGAGGAAGCAGTTGCAGATCAGTATTTGAGGATTATCACCTTCTAAGGAATTTATATAGCATTTTCGCTTAGGTGAGAAGGAACCTTAGAGTGGATTGTCCCATTCCTTTGTGAAAAATGATACTTTTGAATGCCCTGGATGCTATGCATAACCTGAAAGTTCCCCGGTTATTCTACTAGCGCCCCACCATAGGCATGGAGAAGATTAGCAGTAAAAGCCATGCTGTGAGACAAAACTTTCGAGTGGGTATATGTATTTCACCTTCCTATAATATATGAGATCAACCGATTTCCCTCCTGAAATATGCTGGAGAAACTTAAAGGACTGTTCCAAACATTTTCACGGCGAAGATGGTGCTAAAGAGCAGCGTGCCGCGTAGTCCCTCCCCCATATACGTTGACACCCAATATTGCGATTTAGTGACGCCTCTGTTTTCCAGTGACTCCGTCTCCGGACTCCGCCTACAAT